TTCTTCTTCTTCTTCTTCACCTTGCTCGGTGGCTTTCTTACTTTTTGAAGGGAAGAATAGTTTGTTTTCCTCCAGCTCATGTCTATAACCGGCGTGCACTACCGAGCCATGCTCTAGAATATATGCGAAGTCGCGGTCCAGGATCTGGGACATTTCGTGCGTGATGATAATCGTCGTCTTGCCCCGTCGCCATTCTCGAATAGCTTTCATAGTTTCGACGCGGTTGGTGCCATCTAGAGCACTTGTCGGTTCGTCCATGATCAATATAGGAGTATCTCTGAGTCGAGCTCTGGCGATCGCAACCCGCTGCCTTTGACCCCCACTCAAAAAATTCCCTCCGGGTCCAACACATGTTTCCATGCCTTCGGGCATAGCCTGTATAGTTCCCTCTAACCTGGCTAAATCAATGCATCCTTGAATGTCAGGTTTCCGGAGCCGACTGTGATCTCGGCTTCCAAATGCGATATTCATGAACACAGACTCGTTGAACAGCACGCTCCGCTGTTCGATGAGTGTCACGTTTTTGCGAATCCAGTTCGTACTTAACGTCTGAATGGGATGTCCATCGATAAGAATCTCACCCGATGTCGGCATGTAGAAGCGGGCAAGTAGCTGCCCAAGTGTGCTTTTTCCGGAACCGCTTTTTCCTATGACGAACGTGGTCTCTCCAGCTGGAAAGAAGAAGCTCGTCGAGTTCAGACTGAGTCTGTCTGGTTGAGACGAGTATGAGAAAGAAAGCTTTTAGGCACCGGCGGATTAGCGAGTGAACCAATATGAAAAAGGAGTGTTGATATACTACACACGTTTTTCACTTCGATGTCGCCATGGCAGACATCCGGGCATATGGCACCGTCTAACAGCCCCGGGGCTTTACCGTCCGCTCGATCACTCAACGCGTTTCGCAGGGCAAGGGAAGCGATCTTGCCCTTTTTCATTACAGCTGCCTGTGGCATGATGAATTCGAAGGACTGCGCTGCTGCCAAGCAGGCCCAGAAGGTTCTTAAAACTTCCCCTGCAGAGAGCTGGCCGGACGTCGCCAGAGAGCTGCCATACCAGAAACCTTGAATAAACATACCGAAAGACATCATACGCAGGAACGCGATCTGCAGAGAGGTGAAGCGTGCTCGCCTCAAATAGCACACTGCTGCTTTGTCGATGCTGGCCACAAAACTCCGGTGCTCGATGAGTTGCCCATTGAAGGACTTGACTGCATCGATCGAGGTGGTGGCGCTGTCCACAATCTTCGACGACTTCGCAAGCTCAACCTTCTGCGCTTCGAAGCTCGCATTCATTTTCGAGGACAGGAATGAGATGATGGCCGACAGGACCGGCATCCCAGCCAGAGTGACCAAGCTCAGGTTCCAGGACGTATAGAAGGCTAGGATCAGCGAGACGATCGCTCGAAAAAAGTATTGTACGGCAAGCCCGAATGCCTGCGACGTCGCCTTTTGCAGGTCATCGATATGACTAGTTTTCAGTGTCAGCCTGTTAGGGCGAGCCAAACAAGAATCATCATGCAACGCACCCCTGGAGGCTTGACAGGTACACCCGAGTGCCATCCTGCTGTGTCTCAAACCATTCTTGATCCCTCTTCAAGAGGCCGTCGAAAAGCTCGGTGCGAGCGTTCGCCACTTGCAGCTCTCCGAAGATAACAAACAGGACATAGTAGCATCCGTTACAGATCCAACTGATTGCTCCCAAGACCGCCAGTCGGACGCAATACTTCGTCGTCGTCCGAATGAGGTCGTGATTAGTGATCTCCTGGCCTCCGAACAGGGTGAATTCGTTGAAGATCTGGCCCAGCAATATAGAGAAAGCCGGTGTGGGCAGACTGGCGACGAGAGCGAGCACGACTCCTCCGATCAGAGTCGGCGCATGCTTCCCAGTTGTGAAGCTGAACAAAGACAACCAGCCCGCATTTCTGCCCGAGGGAAGTCGGAGAGTAAACGCGGCCATCGTTTGATTCGGCCTTGCGAGCCGTCCTTGATTGACTGTTGTTTTCCTTTCTTTTATCTATCGACGAGGCGTCTTGATAAACTCTGGGAGATACATGGTTTGACTAAGAATGCAGAAAGGTCGGTCTTCGCAGACGATCGATCCATATTGAGAGATGAGATACCCAAAAAGTCTAACACTCGCCTATGCTCCATCCTGTTTGTGAGGCGTAACAAAGGGGAGTCATTCATGGCAGGCTGAGATAACCCATTGTCCCGCTCCTTGTCCCAAAGCGGTTATATTGAGGAAGGAAGAGATAATGATCCACGGTTGGTATTGTTGTATCTCCGCTCGCCCTGAGGACCAACCACCCCCAAAAAAAAAGAAAATGTCTATTCATTACTTCATTTCCAATGAACAAGATCCACCCACTGTATATACATATAATGTTTCGCTTTTTGAGAACGAAGAGAAGAAATTGAGACCCACCCGGTTCCATTCTCGCAGGGAACCCAGACTCTCTGCCAAGGTCATTAGAAGCAACATTTACGGCCGCTACCGAACGATCCATTGGACCATGAACGGGCCGTGAAGTGGGATGACTATGAACTCGAGTCGTTGCACTATCCCATAAAGCGACAGCGAATGCAGGATTGGGAGCTGGGGAACGGATCCAGTCATTCGTGCGACTATTCTAGAAGGGCCAAGGAAAGGTTTTTCCAGTACTCCGTGGCACACATCTAGGAGCTCGCCTTCTGGGCCTTCTCGTAGATCCAGTCGTTGAGTCCAGCGCGGTTTCTAACGAATCGATAATTGATTAGTTCCACTTGTGTTTTTTTCTTATCCAGAGCGCGATGATGCTCACCTGGCGATCTCGATCGCGTAAAACTGCATGCGCATGGCTGTTTTGCGACGTTAGTCCCACATATCCCCCAAGTGCAAACAAACTTCCTGTAGTCAAAAAAGAAAACCCACCAAAGATAGTCGTCTCCTGGTCGTACTCGAATTTGGGGTTGGAGCGGAGCATAGTTCCAAAGTTGAAGTCGGTGACGGTCTTCTCATACTGGTTCATCCAGTTGCGCCACTTCTCCTTGCCCTCCTTGCTCTTCATCGTGTCCTCGTTCAGCGTCTCGGCGGGGTCGAAGTCCGGGAACTCCTTCATGAAGGACTCGTAGATCTCATCGTCCATCTTGGTCAGACGGAGCTGCGAGCCGCGGACCTTCTCGAGGATCGCCCAGTATGTCATCAAGTGCTCCACGGCTGTAAAGGCGGGTGAGTATGAACGATTCTACCTAGAACGGTGAGGTGAGAGGGAAACGGACCCTTGACGGCAAACTGCTTCTCCATCTACAACGCGAGAAAATCAGCTGTTGGTCTTGTTTTCGAAAGATGGAGATCACCAGGGGAGTTTTCTTCCTGGCGCAAAGCACGAACTTACATCGTCCAAGTTCTCCGCGGTCTCGGGATCGAAAGGCTTCGACATTTTGACGATTGTGTGTGTGGGGATATGCTTTGAAGAATGTTCAATGTGGTGGGTATACAATGGAAGGTCTCTTTGGGGACCGATAACAAACTCTGGTGGTTGGTTGTTGTTGGGTGGATTGGGAAATCGAATTCGAAGTGCCCCGCGCGACAGACTACTCTTTTTCTGCCGCGGGCGGAGATTTTTGCGCCGCCCGCCTAAAACCCCGCCCCGCACCAGATCCGTACGTCATTCGCACCGTTTCAACAGTGCTTCCTAAGGCCTGAGAACTGAGATGGAAATACAGACTGCTCATACTACAGGTCCATAGGCCTCAACACCAGACTCTACCGGAAGCTTCAAGCATCTTCGAGCTGTTGCTCGGAGCTTCTACTCTGGGATTCTGTCGCTTATTAATGGGTGGCCAAATCATGCCTGCTTGCTTTCCATTCGATTCTGCGGATGACAGATCAAGGCAATGAGGGACAGAGCTACCCGAATTAATGTACAAGGGGGAACTGTAACTGTAGTGCTATCCTGAGGGCTAGAAGGCAAGATCAGACATCTTAGATGGGAAGGAAACCTGTACAACTCCGGGTCCCAGTTCAATTGACGGGGTATGATACAGCAGTAACAAAGGGGTCAGATAGCAAATGCTCAGTCGCTGTCGTCCGAATCAGGCAGTTCTTCAAATCTACCTTCGTGAAGGGCACGCGTGACAGGGTTCTCCACGTTGAGTATTCCACTCGCCTTGGCCCTATATGAAGCTGTCAGCAATCATCTATATCATCGGTGGAGGAACAAACCTCTCAAAGAGCACAAACAATCGCTCTGCCTCACGCTCCTTCTCTTCCTTTGTCATAGGCGGCCATTCATCCTTCTTCTCCGCAGCCCATTTCTGGCCAGTTATGGGGTTGACCTCTGGATCGAATCCCTGCGGGTTCGTAGCGAATGCCTCGCCCGCTGTCTGCGGTATCTCCATGCCACGAGAAGCCAATAATCCTGCTGCAAATCCATAGCCAATGTTTCTGGTCAAGTTCTCCGCGTCCTTTCCAGAGAGAACGAACATGAGCTCGGAGATAGCTGTCTTTACGTTCGGATAGGGAGTGGTTGAGAGATTCAGAAGCTTGGAGGAAAGCGTGTCGGACTGTCCAATGGGACGACTTCTATCATTCTCTTCGGGCAACAAAAGCCATTGCATGTACTTGCGGACGCCATCAGGTGCCAGCTCATGAATAGTCACAAGAGTGTGGAAGAGTGGGATCGCTTTGGTTTCCAACTCATCTGCCTTATATGCAGACACAGCCTGGTCCAGAATATTGATCAGCTTGTCGACATTGCAGTTCTGATTAAACGTCGGGAAGAGCGGACTGCTCTCCCATGCTTTGCCTTTCTTGTTCTCAATGTCAAGGGTTGACAGGCAGTTGAGAAGATATCCGAGCAAACCGTCTAGAGGCTTTTCAGGAATATCCATCCGGCTGATGATCTTGAAGAGGTGCGGGATCGAAGGCGAAAAACTCCCCGCAAGCTCCGGATAGATCTTGGAGACATTAAAAATCAATTTCAGTGTGTCGATGAGCGCCAGTTCGTCCATCTGCGACAAGGGCTTCTTTCCCGACTTCGGAAATTGCTTGGCGTGTCGAGTAATTTGCTACATAGATTGATCAGTCAGATTGGTTCTACTCCTCTAGGGGCCAAAGAGGGGGGTGGGATGGTGGAGGGGGCTCACTCACATAGTTGACATTTTCACTCAAGAGATGATTCTTAATCAGTATTTCGAAGTCCATGGTGGTATCATATGTGGAGAGAAAGAGAATGCGACTAATAACCATTTCGTCGTCTGAAGAGTCACACTAGCCTGGTGTCAGCAAATAGAAACACGTGTAAGATGGTGGAATTGATTTGCATACTTTGAGTAACTCCGCCAATTTACCTCCATAGCCTGTATCAACAAACAGCTGACGCATAGCAGGGTTAAGGAGGAGAGCATTTGCAACGCATCGTAGGGCAGCTCGCCGCACATCAGTCGTTTCTCCCGTAACACCGTACTTAGTTAACAGTTCTATTCCCTATAGAATAGTCAGCAGTCGAAGCAAGCTATGAGTAGTTGGTTCTTAGTACCTCTTTAGAATAGATCGGGCCTGCGTTATCAGGACTGGTGCCATGCTGCCTCAGCTCTAACAGGGTTTGTATGCGTTCTATAAGGTGCATTCCATGTTGTAAGAAGCTTGCTCATAAGTATGCTTTTCTTTGTACTTACGCTGTGATGTGAGCGACTTCTTCAGCTGGTCTTGTTTTAGCAACTCCACCAACTGGGAGACCCGTTGCAGTTTAGCTAAGCATAATCTGTTAGTCTACATCGATATGAAGTTGGTTTCTACATACCTGCACCTTGGAGCGTGCGAAACTCCATCTTTTATGTTGTTCAAAACTTGAATTCGGCAGAGGAGCAACCGGATTCCTGTGTCCCGTGTGGCTTTGTATGAATAGGACACCCCCTGGTAGTCCACCCAAACTTGGGCCCCGCTTGATTAGAGCTAGTGACCTTTGCGACCGCACGAACCTCAGTGTTCCGGTAATCCAAAAGGTCAAAGTATTAACACTCCTTTGGTGAGATAAGTCACGCTGTAGCGCAAGGTTCAAAGGCCCTGGACCAAGTGATGTAGAGGTTTCGGGCCTTGGATCCGCGGGGATGGTTCTTGCCAGAAGTTAAAGCCAATGATGGATCGGTGAATAGAGGATCGGAGAGGTGCGATAAAGCAGGAGAACCCCACTCAGGCTCACAAATGTATGTGTATCTCCACAAGGATCGATGGAAGAAAGTATGTACCGATATAGGGAGATCTTTCTGCGTCCTGTCTAGGAGGATATTCTCAGTTCTTCGAGAATGTTTCCTATCAAAGACACGAGTCCAGACCCATGTTTCGAGCCCAAATATCTAGACTGGTTTTATCATCATTAACTTAAATGGTTCATTTGTTTGTTCGATTTGTTTCAACTTCCCGCCCGGATACTAGTGCCTTGTCTCCTCAGGCATCAAGCGCGGCGCTGCCACTTTACGCGTGCCTCAGCCACAGGCGCGTCCCTTTTGAGCTGCGTGGCTTGGCGCGGTTCCCCGAGGATCAAACGCTCGACAGCCCTGCTTCATCTGGGCTTCAAATCTCGCTCCAGGTTGTTTCTCTCAGGCTTGAACTAGAGCATGGACCACTCGTGATCATCGCCAGGCCATATCGCGATGTCCTTTTCTCTCTCTCGGCTTCTGATTCCTATTTCTTAACCATTCGATCGTCAAAAATATGGTGGAGATTCTCGGTCCTGTCTCTGCTCGTCCGCCAACTCCACCAAGGACATCGTCTTTTATGCTGTCTGAGAAAGATCGAAGGGAAGACTCCCCGGCCATTGTGCATACGCCTCGTGACTCTCCTTTCTCTGTCAATGGTTCGACCGGGGCCCCCTCGACCCGTCAATCCAAGCGCGTGAACTTCTCGCCATGGACTAAATATATCAAACCTCCGACTTTCACGAATACCACCGCCAAATCGCGACCTGAGCTGAAAGTTCTTCCCCCTTCGAACGAACTCAAACCCGCAAAGTCGATCCTCAAGACGACGAGCTCGCACGCTCTAGCCGACTCTCCTTCCTCCGCCCCTCCCATTCCCGACACGTTCGCCATGCTTCTTGAATCCATTCTTCAGCAATTAGCTGGCGACACAGTCAGCTCCAGACTCGATGCATACATGCAATTCTTCGGGGCGCTAAGGGCATATGAAGGGCTTCCTGGAGAGCAGGAAGTTATCGCGAAGTTGGGCACAATTACACATTTTATACAAAGAGACATCAGCAGAGACCTGACGACTGGAGGACCTTTGGACACCAATCTTGTCATCCAGGCGCTAAAACTGGCTGTTGCTCTTGTTTGGCACAATGAGATATCTGCGCGACTGTCGGACGAGTTCAAGGCATTCCTTATCGATCACTCGATCGATTGCCTGCAAGATGCCAAAGTGCCTAAGTCCGTGATCACACATTACTTATCTGTCTTGGCTACACAAAACTTTCATACAAAAATCATGACCAATGCCAGGGTGATACGCCTTCTCACTGTCTTGAACAGTCTGACTAGCCGTGTCAACGGAAATGCAATTGTGTCTCAGCGGTTGAGCATCTACTCTCGTGTTCTCAGTCAATCGAAATCGACATTCGTCTCTCACGCAGCGTTGTGGATGGAGCATTTAATCTCGGGACTACTTCATCATATGAAGGATACTCGCCTCAAAGCTATTTCTGTCGGCTTCCAGACCTCTATCACGTGTGGGCCCAATCCAACGCTATCAAAGGCCGTTCGGGATGTGTTTGGAAGGTTCATAGACAAGGGCAGGAAGATGGTGACTGAAGTATGCGAGAGAATGTCCCGGATGATGAACAATCCCGAATCAGGTATACATGTACCGCAGGTCTGGGGCGTGATCGTACTGCTTCTGAGAAGTAAAAAGTTCAACGTTGACCAGTGGGAACATTTCAAAGAATGGGTGCTGGTTTTGCAGAGGTGCTTCAATTGCAGTGACTCTTCAATCAAAGCTCAGGCTATCGTGGGTTGGAATCGATTTGTTCTGGTCGTTGGCCCGAGCGATACAACAAGCCCTTCTATACTCAAGATGCTGAGCAAACCAATCATGTCCCAATTCGACCGCAAGAAGCACGACAAGCAACCTAGCCAGCTGGCATTGTGCAGTTATTACAATCTGTTGTACTATGCCTTCCGCCCGTCTGCAACTTTTGAGCACCTGGATGTTGTTTGGAAAGAGTACATTGCCTCGCCCTTATCAACGGTATTCACAACAGTGCCCGGCATGCATGATCGACTCGCTCACGTGCTGTCCAGCATGTTCTGGAGCTCGCACCCAAGGCCCTGGGTAGAAAACAAAGTCAATGAGAGCAACAAGCTGGATCCGGAGGAGTTACCTTCTATTGATAGCAGGTGGCTAAGATCCAGAATTTCATCAGTGCTTGATGTTCTTGAGAGTATCTTCAAAGCAACAATCTGGACAGATAACCTTGAACAGTCGCATGTTGGCGCTGCATGGCTGAATTTATCTAGTGCCTTGGCGTTCACCTTAAACAAAGAGATTACCCCAACTCCTGAGTCGATGCAGACCGTGGCTCACGTACTGGTTTTTCTTAGGCGGGTCTGGACTACCGGGCCAGACGCGCTCAGCGCAAAACAAGAGGATGGCTCCATGGACACTTTCTTCGAGCGATTTGGGTTCTTGTCCACTACGATGATCCACGCCCTAGGAAGTGCTCGGTTTACAGAGAAGCTTGTTCTGCGGACCTCCGACTACTCGTTCCAAGCTGCTACCACGCCAACCCATCGCCATTCGAGAGCAACCGCCAATCTAAGCACCCCGACCTTGCATTACCTCCGAATGATCAGTGAAATGTCTGTGATAACGGTGCCAAGCACGGCGTATTCTCACTTGGTCAAGAGTGTACTTGAGGCCACTTGCAGTGATAAAATTTCTCGAAGCTCGCGCTTAGAATTACTACAACAATGTGCCAGTCTCTACGATGAGTACAGTGACTCCGACTTCCCCTTGGGTCCCTTCTTGGCACAGACCGTCTGGGAGTGTACAGCACAGTCAGCTGCTGATTCTTTGCGCTCACTTCCAATGGAGACTGCGCGAGAACGCGATGGATCCGTTACCCGAGACTATGAAAATGCTGTGAAAGTTCTTTCAACGGGATTGAATTACTATCGCAACTTTCAGGTATGGAATGAACTGCTTGACTCCCTGATACGTGTGGTGAGAACCGAGAGAAGTGATCAAGCAATCACACTCATGGTCATTGAGCCTCTTGCCGAGTCTATCATGAAGGGTGGTGCCCGGAGGTCTTACTTGCCGTTGGCATCTATCCTCAAGCAATTGCTTTCCATCACCTATTACCAACAATTTGAGAGAGACAACAATGAGAGCCACTTGCCGTTCCACAAACTGGTTGACCTGGTTGGGCGTACCCTGTTGGATTCTTATGAACACTTCGACCCCTCAGAGACGAGCGGTATGGCGGACTTCATTGAATCCTTAACATCACTCTTGGGCTCAGGTACTTCAACTGTCCGGTCTATCATGCTGGAAAGTCTTCAGCTACCCCTGGCTATTTATCTGAAGGATGAGGACAAGCGAATGAGCGTGGAGAGTGGTGTGGAGAGCAGGATTCTCACTGCAGTAAGTGTCAGAAGCAAGGGGGCTTGGACATACTCTAACCCTTGTATAGTGTCGCGCACTCTCTTCGGCTGTTCTGAATATCCTACAAGCATCTTCCCCCCATAATGCCTCGTTCCTGCAAAAGTTCGAAGATATCATTCACGCGGGTCTAGATTCTTCACACATATCAGTAAGAAGGAGGTTCTATGACTTCTGGAATTCTACCTTCGGTTCACAGAGATTTTTGTCCCGCCCCGAAAGGATAACGCATGCGCTGGAGAGCTTGGAAGCTCTCATTAAACATCAGCAGGCCATCACACCTTTGGAAGAATCGAAGGTATGTCATGTCATAACGAGCGACAGCCAGCTCATGCTAACCCTTCGAAGCCTAGAGCTCGGATGAGTACTTTCGACGAACAGGAAACCAAAAACGGCTCTGGGGACATGTCCGTAAAGTCACGGATCTCTTTCATTCTAGACAATCCGGTCGACTCGGGCTTGAACTCGTCGCCTGTGACTGGGGGCTCAGACCGTGCAGTCACACGAGAGCGCACAAAAGAACTTCAGCGGGAACGAGCTTTCGAAGCTGATAGTCAGCGTGCCGAGCAACATGTTGTTGCTTCTCATCCAGACCCTTTCGTATCAGGCCCAGAGGACGGTAACAAGCGCAGCGAGTTGTTCTCGATGATTGAAAGCCTCAGGTCTTCTTCCCCGCCGAGCAATACACCTAGAGATATCCACTTCATGACACCGCCGCACTTGCGTCACCTGCATCACTCGGATACAGATGCAGGGACCCCGCAAACACCCCCTTTGCCGCCTGTGTCGGCAGAGAACGAATATAACTACCTTGGCTCGTCACCGACTCCTATCTCAAGAGGGAGGGCGCAGTTGAGCGACTCACATGTGCCACCACCCCCAACATCTGCCCCAGAAGCCTCTTTGTTGGACAACGAGCCCCGATCATCACCTCCAGAACTCACTTCACTTCCCGCAGATCATCACTCGCTTACTCCTGGTCCCCATCCTAGTAACGAGACACCCGTTGACCTTGAGACACCAACGACCACACCGGGTAAGAGCAAGAAGGCGAAGAAGAAGGCCAGACGCTCTGCCAAGCTCAAGAAAAAGTCAAATTCTGAGCTCAATCAGACTGAACACGTCACTCAGGACAATCCAAATGACGTCGCAGACCAGCCTATGACTAAACGCCTCCGCTCTTCTACTGGGAAGACCTCTGATTCTCCTCTGCAATCCACAACCGAGAAGCAACATACAGGAGCTGCCACAGAATCCAGTAAGGAGACACGTCATACGCACTCCACAAGGGCCTCCGCCTCGGCCAACGCCGTCGGTTCGAAGACTGGGCCCGAAGTGGAGAAGGACTTGCCTCAGATTGTCGAAATCGTCGAGTCCCAGGCGGAACGACCCAGCGGTAACCCCGGCTTGTACAACGACGATGTTGATATGGAAGACCAGGTGTCATCCCAATTGGAGCAAGATCTGGAGCTTGCCGTAGATAAAGATGATGTTGCGGGCGGTGAAGAGTCGATGGAAGCTTCGCATGAGCCTCAACCATCCAGGAAGAGAAAACGTGAGATGGAAGAGCAGACACCTCAGAGGAAGGAAAGACGGCGCTCGTCTCGACTCACAAAGACGCCCGCTGCGGCTGAGGAATACGAAGCCGACACCACTCGCTCGAACGAAATCTTGCTAAACACTCACGACCTTGAGTCGTCGCCTGCCGAGTCTGCACCGAAGCGACGGAAACATGACACCAGGGCTGAGGCCTCCAGCACGACTAGATCGGTCGCTAACAGTCAAGCATCGGACCCTGTCAGCTCGAAGGACAAGCCTTCAGAGAGTCAAGACAAGTCTCAGAAGAGAAGGTCTTCTCGTCTAAGTGGTCAAGCTGCGCCGCCTATACCCGAGGAGAGCCCTGTGCTTCAAAAGAAGTCGAAGAAATCACCTCGACCTTCTCGTCCACGCAAGCAGGACAATGATATAAACACGGAAACTATACATGAAGAGAGTGATTCCCAGGAGACTACGGCAGAAGACCAGCCAAAGCAGCCAGCGCGTGAGAAGGCGTCCGATCATCTGGACGATGTTCAGAATGCACTAGATGCTACGGCGGTTCCCGAAGTAGACCCGGAAACACACGAGTCTGAGGAGTCGGTACAACCTGCGCTCGAAGCTCAGGGGGAAGTCGCTTCGACGACCCGGCCCGTGCCTGTCGAGAATCTGCAGCCCTCGGCAGACAACGACATCCAGATGACCGATGCGCACCCGTCCGCAGAAACCGCTCCCGAGTCGCAGAAGACACCATCTTCCATCAGGGAGAAGCACTCGGAGAAGAAAAAGAAGAAAACCCGCGCCTCATCCCGCGCTGCCCCTACTCAAGCAGAAACCGAGGCCCCAGCCGAACCTGTCCTGGTCAAGTCCGAGGCGGAAATCGCAAACTCCCTCCGCAGGGTCCTTGACGACGTCAAATTGGCCAAGCTGGACAGGCAATCTCTCAAAGAGATTGACGACCTGTTGTTCGATATTCGAGTGGAGACACATGAGGCAATGCGGAGGAATACGGGTTAGGAAGGTTGAACTTTTCTTGTATTTTTTTTGCATAGCGAAGGCGTTTTCTTTTTTTTTTTTTTTTTCGACATGTCCGCGGGGTATCTGCTTATCTTAGATCCTATATTATACACCCTTATCTTTCGATGCGCCAGGGGGAGGTTGCTTTTGTATCTTTGGCGGAGGATGGGAAAAGATCAAGATTTGTTGTTTTTGCTTCCGGTTTTCTTCCGAGTCACCACCCTAGTAGTATATTGTTTTCGCTACCTTTGTGTATTTGAAAACTGCGATTAAGAAGAGGTTTTGTACTATGGTCCGGGGACTGGGAAACGAAGAAGGTTCCACATTTTTAGGTATATTCTAGGCTTATGGGAGGTGATGTACACTCCGTGGAGAAATCTACCTAGAGCCTTCTCGTTGCATTGAATGTGGCTGAAGAAAACGGTGCTGTTTTGCAGAATATAGTCGGAGGAGAGAGCATAATGAAGGTGGTGAAGAGCAAAAGAGAACAGAAAAGTGGCGATGCGAAAAAAGGATAACGGCCCGAGCCGCGGATCGAACGCGGGACCTCTCGCAGATATGCTTGGGTTTGGAATCCCTAAGCGAGAATCATACCACTAGACCACCCGGGCTTGTTATGGTAATCCTGCGTAATTGATGCAATATACGTCAACATCCTGTCATCAAGTCCAGCTGCACAGACATCTCCCTAGCCTTGTTGCCCATAGACTGCCTTCGAACCTGAGATATTCTCCACTTCGAGACTAAACCATACACTATGCACAAGGCGATGAGGCGCAAACTTCTCTACTATAGGTGGAGAGTGTGAGTTGACACTGAAAGTGGATACGTCCAGGCAATGCGGACAGGAGCATTTTAGGAATCAGCAGAAGCATACCTAACTACGCACTCGACACTGTACGGATCGGGTCCAACCATTCTCCATCCATGATTTCTAGGCCAAGTCAAACTCTTGGCTTCCATACATGCATACACATCACATATACGATTGCTGTAGTGTAGTAGTGGACCCTTCTGCCATAGATAAGCACAAACCGCCTTGGCTGCATCAACCTACACCGGTACTCTTGCTTATTGCCTAGACGAGACAGCCTCCCTCCTCCAGTGCAGCAGCTCTGCATTTTTCACCGTCATGCTATGCACCTCATGCCTTAACTTTCATTGTCCCAGCCACAAAGAATTCTGTGGCCGATTTTTTAAATAGAGAGGATCCAGTTTTGAGTGCACAAAAAAAATAGTGAATGCAGGCTATCTAGATTAGAAACATGTCTCTATCTACCCGGTCTCTTCAGCTCGCAGTTGCGCGCGCGGAGTAGGGCTTGAACTTACCACGAGGATAGATAATTCTGTTTTCGTCGCAGAGGAGCCAATGAATGAAATCGACCTACTTGCTTTCCCAATAATACACAGAATCGGAGGGAGAGAAGAAATCATACCAATTTTATCTCGCTTAACTTTACTCGACTTTATACTTCCTAAACTTCCCGCTACTAAAGGCATGCATGCACTGCCAACAGCTCCCACCGATCTATCAATCTGCACATAGCAAGCCATCCCCTACACTAGATTGATGGACTTTCCATAGAAGCACGTAAGATTCTCTCCGAGGAAGATAAATTGCATAAAGAACAACATGTTTCCTCCCGCCCTCCCCTCGAGGCTGAGCGAGCGAGCGGTGGGCGGATTTGGGGGAGGGTTAAGTGGTAGTCTCCCCTCCGGCCAGTCAGAGTTTCGTCATGGGGATGGGAAAAGGGAAATCATGCCGGATGCTGGACGCTTTCTCTTGAACACGGCTTTCTTTCTCTTCTTTATCTGCTTTTCTGCACGGACAAAGAGCACAGTAATCTCCAATGTCCGGTGTCTATGAGGAAGGGGAAAGGGGTTGCCAAAAATTGCGCTTTCACTCACTCATCTTGCACCAAAACTGCCGTGTCGGTATGTACGCTCGACCATAGGGGCTTACCATCTGATTTGCGCTACGCTGCGTTGTGCGTGAGGGGTGCCAGAATTAACACGCTCTCCTGCCTGTCTGCTTTCTGCTATCTGCTTCAACCTTTTCTCTCGTGGTTATCACATTGGGTCTGCTGCTTTGAGAGGTCTCGTGAGTTGCATATACAGCAAGCAGGCCCTCTGATAGCATCTATCTACACTCCTTGATCTTTCCCGGAGAAAACAACCATCCTCACCGCTTCACACAAGTCACAGGGTACGTACATGGCCCTTTCGTGATTGATTCTGTGATCATATCCCGTCCTGTCGGTTTTCTAACTAGCGCACCCTGGTTAGCTTGATCTTCACAGAAAGCCGATGCAAGGTGACCCAGCATCAGCCATGGTTGACGTCTCGTCGGCCGCCATTCTCGGCTACTTGGCCCCCGTCTGCATTGCCTTCTTCGTTTTTGTTGCTTGGTATGTGGATCGTTTTCCCCTCGGTCATTCGTTTCTTCTTCAGTGGGCGTCCGGAATCTAACTCGGATGAATCAAAACAAAAAGGATCTGTGTTGAGGTCCGACGCCGCGAGCGTACCCGTAACCTGCACAGCAACGATGCCGAGACTGCTCCCATGGGGTCCAGTCGTGCCGTGATCTCCAGCCGTGACGTGGAGAGACGCTTCCCCCAGATGAAGTATAGCGACTGGCTCAGTTCTAGGACCAGGTGCATGCCCGCCAAGGATGCCACCGAGGCGAGGGTTTCTTCCGTCGCGGCTGATACTACCTCTGTCGATGCTATTGAGATCGCCCCGGTCAACGACGCTCCACGCTCCGAGGAAATCCCCACTGATACGCCTCGTCAGGTTCCTGGTTGCGATGGGCCAGCCCCTACTGCTTTTGACATCATGCAGGCTGCCCCGGGTACAGGAGAAGGCTTCGACATGGCAGATTCCAGCAGAGAGTGTGTTATTTGCATGGATGAGTTTCGCGGGCCAGACTTCATTCGTCATCTGACGTGCGGTCATATTTTCCATGTGTCCTGCCTAGATCCCTGGCTAACCCGCCGCCACGCATGCTGCCCCCTGTGCAAGACAGACTACTGTAACGCAAGGGCCTCACGCACCGGTTGGCTTCGTTCCGGGTCTGGCCCAGCTTTTCCGCAGCCAGTTCTGATCCGTACCGACATCCTTCCGCGTCTCTGAGGTACCTCTCTATAATCGCGCAACCAACTATCTGTGAGTAGAGACCGTGATTCCCCGCTGATTGTTGTGGGCCGAAGAAAGGCAGCTGACCATGACACTTCAGAGCGAGTGGCAACTTGCTTGCGCATAGCACATAGACCTGATTTGTGGAGCGTCTTTCGTGGTGTTCTGGTACCGGGGGGATCACATACTGGATTTTCGAGATTTAATGTCTCCATGCGTCTCACTTCTGTTGCGTCAGAGTGAGTTCGAGGCTGGTAGGCGATGTAAATAACTCGTTAGCATTTCACGCTATCATATGAATTTGCTTCAGCTCTATTCCCTCCTCGAACGTGTATTGACCTTCGTCCTCACAAGAGCGATAGGAACTGGCTCTATGCGGACCTAGAGTCCTTTCCGGATATCCGGGGGTCGTCCTGATGATAGCCTCCTCGCTTGTTCGTTGGTCAACAAGATTATCCTCGTGGGGCTTTCCTTTAACACTCATGGTGAACTGGTCGGGTTTCCATTCGTATGTATGGGAGAAATAGAACGGGTGCCAGTATCTCGGTTTTCCCCCGCTTTGCGCGGAACGCGATACGCTGGAAGGATCTATGCCATGCCAGCGAGCATGCTGACCATGCGGCCTATTTGTCTTCTGATACATTTTCGAGCTGAACACCCTCCGAATCAGGGGCGACAGACAAACCATATTCGCGACATAGATCGCAGTGCTCGCCTCCCGTATATACCAAATTTGATAGGTCGTCGTCAAGGGAGAGGCGAAATTGAAGACTTTGTTGAGAATCGCAGCGGCGATGGTGAAGACACCCAAGCTCATGACGCCCGCCAGCATGATTTTCTTTCCCCTCCTCATCTGGGCCTTCCGCAGCAGAGGAAATGGCAGCGCGAGCATGGCAGCATCGGAGGAGATGTTGAAGACTGCCTGGGTGATGGAGTAGTACTGGTAGGTCGCGCATTGCATGTCCTGCACCGGCATGGCCCAGTACTGTGAGAATGGCCGGCAATAGACGGCATAGTACGTGACCATGATAACGAGGAAGCCGACGGCGATGAAGGCGGCTATCAGATTGACATACATCCGCAACAGCCGGAAATTCTGGGTGAGCCGCCAGAACATGGTCAACATGCAAACCTTGACCCCCCAGGTGGAGAATAACATGCACTGCTCGAGGCCAATGACGATCTTGCTCCCAAAGATACGATCACGCACTTCTTGTGGGTTGGACATAATCTCATCGTATTGTGCCGGATCGACGAGATTAGACGCATAGCGGGCGGAGACTTGAATCAAAACCAGCAATGTTGTATAGATCAACTGCCTCACCCAGTGGGTCAGTCAAGCGCTCCTCTCTCCTGGTGCGGGCCTCAGACTTACAAATGTGACGCTCATCACATAATCCTCAGCTATATCAGGCGCGTTAGTGCTCACGAATTCCTGACAATCCTGGCTGCGTCATACAATACAGGCGCTTGATCGAACCGGTTACGATGACACGGGAAACTCTTGGTAGGTTAGTAAGGGCTCTATGAAAGGAACATACCCTGTGCACGTAATGGGGGTCTTTAATACTTACATCCTTCCAATGTATAGCACGGTTGCGACGCTCCAGAATATAATTGCCTCGGAGAGGAGCTGGTATGGAGGGGGTGAGAAGTCGCCCATGTCGTCGTCTTCTCAAAGTCTGGGTAAACCCCAGTGCTCCTGGACTCCTCGCCGTGTTTGCACGGCGCATGTCACGCCAGGGGGGCAGAGTGGTGTGCGGCTGTGGGGGGGGGGGGGGGGGCATATATAGATAGCAATGCATCGGCCACCAGGAGCAGCCCTTGCACGCCCTGTCGCAGCAATGCCATTTTATCGGCACGTGAAGCAGAGACTCCGAGCCAGCCTCGACGCCACACGCACCGCCCAGAACGAGGGAGATGATGAGATTGCATGCCGCATCGGAGAGTCCGGAATTCCTCGCCTGGGTTGGCGACAGGACGCAAGGGGATGAACAACTGGGGATGGACTCGACTCTCGACCTGACTTGCGATTCAGTGCCAGGCACAAAACATTGCACTTGTGCTCTAGATTCATGATGGACTTGCAAATGAAGTACGATCGAATTGCACTGGTACAATGCGTAAATTGTTCGCTTCCTCGGCCGGTCATTCTTATGGACGTGCTTTGAACGGTTGAAGGGATGTTCAAGGTTCAAGCGAGGAGGTGAGAAGGCAACCAGGGTGGCTAGTGAAGTATGGTCATGCTGTCAATTTAAGGTGTATTTTAAGTGGATTTGACAATGCATATCTCAGGGGCCCTGTGCCATTATCGTAATCTGCCATCCCCATCTTGTGATGGTGACACGGGATGTTTGGTGCGAATGATCCCGGCACTACTAAAATATATACACAGTAGACAAAAGTTAACCACGGGAGGGCAAAACCTAATGAGCAGCACATGTCACCATGCCTGCATATCTAGATTTATCTGAACCAACTACCCTGCCTAAGTAGACATTGACATTAAAAAAAAAAGACAACCGACGTACGCTGTAAAGAGGATAAAAAAGAACACCCAAACCACAAGGGTGTTACCAGCGGACCTGGCTGGATCAGAGCCGGAAAAATACAAAAAAGAATTGCGCCAAGCGAGACTCGAACTCGCGTCCCAACCTAATCCTATGAGAATGGGAAGGTTGGATCCTAACCACTAGAAGATTGGCGCTGAGAACCACTGGACCATCTGGGCCATTGTAGTTATTGGGTCAATGTTTCAACGGATAATATTCAAACACCTGGAACCGAGTTTTCGCCTCAATTTGCCACCAAGGAACCATCTATCGCGAACCTAATTTGACAGAAATCTTCCCTAAACCGCCATTGATCCCAGGATGCCCTCAATTCCATGCAATCTTCGATTTATGGTGGTGCTTCTTGCATTTGAGTTGCGATGTGCTGGATTTATCGCAACTTCGGTCGAGCGCCGCTAATGCCGTATAGGGCCGTCGAAAGTAAAACCTGCGACTGCAGGCGAGACTCAAGGACATTGGGATTTGTGACAAGAACAAATATCTTTCTCATAAAAATTTTCTTCGCAGAAGAAAAGAAAAATCGAATCCTTTAAGAAAAAATTATGGCGGGTGGAGCCTGGAATGAGTTGTAGGGCTAGCAATTTTTGTCCGTACCATGGGAAAGACGAGACCTTATTTCCGCGTGAGCATTACCACCAGTGACATAGACAGTGCGGCACTCCTACAGACGCCGGAAGTTTACGAAGATAATCCAACGAAAAGACCTCAAAGGGTTGAATTATTGCCTAGAATCTATACTTGCTAGATTATAGCCAAAACTCAAGAATATGCTTCAATAGATTGCCCATGCTCTGCCTTGGATACTTTACAGTCAGAGAACCTTTCCACCATGCTGGACTGCATATCACCACAATCAACATTGCACATATTGTACAGCGCTGCATATCGTTCTTTATATATGTCTGAGCCAAGGCCCGGGGGATAACGGAATTGCCAACCCGCAACAACATTATCCAGCACCAGCACACATGCCTACTCCTTTCTGCCCCCAGCCGCCGAGTTCCTGATATAAGGCTCCAGAGGGAAGACTTGAGCCTCAGGTGTGACTCCGTCATATAGCTGCTTCCAAGTTCTAACCAAAGGCTCGGGGGTTTCCCATGCATACTCGGGATCGCGCTGCCAGAGGCGGACGAGATGGCGCCTTGATAATATATCAGCCGATTGCTAAAACAAGCCTAGACCATAGAAGGCGAATACTCACTGCTGCTCCGGGGTGTCCTGAAACCCATCTCTGGCATGGAAGATGCTCAGGTTATTGATGTACTGAATGTCACCCTTGCGGAAGTCAAGCCCGACTGCGTACTTCTCGGCCAAAAAGTGCAACGAATCGAGGGCCTCCGCCTGTGCCTCAGTGATCGGAGGAATATTCTTGGACCTGGGCAGGTCCTGAAATCCAGTGAAGTTGCGTCGCGCATATTGAATCAGGACGCGCTCAGGCTGCTTGCCAGTAGCTGGCTGATGAAAGAGTAACGGGCGCTCATGATATGGGTTCTGAGGATCGCCGAACCTGTCACCATGTAAAGTCAGCACAAATGCACCCTCATGTTTTGAAGTTGATTGCACAAAAGCTATCTAGTACCCGTCAAGAGTCCAGTTCTCCGCGAGCGTACGGATGAGGTCAGGTCGCGTTTCCGCCAATTCATTGTACACACGCCAGCTGCTGGCCAGCTTGCTCTGGCCGCCCGCCGCGGCCGTATTGAGCGCAAACAGGGAGATGATATCCCCCGCATCGGTGTGAAAGACTTGTTTGTCGGTGGTATATGCTGGCGCCCCAATGCGGCCTTTGCTCTGCTCCTGGGTGCTCAAGTCTTTAATATGATTGAGCATCACGTCTGCCGGTGTGCCATCATAGGACGAGTCCTGGCGACCGCGGATCGGGGCAACATGTGCAGAGAGTCCCACGTAAATAATGATATTTTCTTCGCGCGAGTACTTGTCGACCGGCACACCACTGACAACCTTGAATCCGTGTCCGTTGTGAAGCTCCTGCGAGATATCACGTAACGTTGAGTGCAGCGCAGGTAGAGGGAAGGTCTCCGGATCAATGAAACCAAGGGGTTTGTTCAACGCTATGAGCAGCAATTTCAGACAGAACCCAACGAGATATATCTGCAAGGTAGGGGTTAAGCGAGCACGTACACTTGAAATGCAGCACTGCAGCGTCAATCTCCTCGAGATCTGCCTCGGTCAGGACGTACGTCCAGTTATACCGCTCTGCGATGTCTTTGCCCTCCCAGACCAGATCCGACTCGAGCTTCGCCGGAAAGCCAGAAGGAAGCTCAGTAGGAAGGGTTTCAGTGCGTAAGCGACGCGCCGTGCGAGCATGCCATTTGTTCACGTCGGGGGCGTACTGAATATCAGGTTGTTGAGCGGTGATTGTCACAGTGATGGTCATGTTGGGCTGGACGTTGATCAATGAGATACTTGCTTTATCAAAGCGAGAAATTTAGAGAAATGTGATCAGAGTGCAGTGCATCTTCAGTACTTTTGAAGTATGTGTAATGTCAACACCGACCCCGCGCGGGCTCTGATGGTGCAATCATCAACCATTTTTGTTGCTGATGACGATTGCTCCAATCAACATACTGTACTCTCTCAGCTGATGAGTTCCCGAAAAGCCCTAAGCTGTGTTAGATCATTTCTAACATACTCTCGTTAGCTCTTGAACGCAAAGAGCAGATGTTGCCAGATCGGACGTCTGCCGTACTTGTGAGACTGCGGATGGGTTGGAATGCTGGATAGACCAACAATAGCGGCGGTCATTCCGCTTAATGACCCATGTGACTGAAACAGCAGTAGTGACAGGCTCTTTCTTGTGAAGAGCCTCAAGATCGTCTAAGCTGGTTCCAGTGGAGGCAACATGTCTGTTTTGGTAACAATATGAAGCGTCCTGGATATCCTGCACTATGCAGCATAAATCTAAAATAGGCAGGGAGTTATCCGCATAGCGTTATGCTGACCTAAGCCAAGAAGGGCCCCACGGTGACGCTGCTGCCCCGCCCGTTCAGGCGCATCCAACAACAGTCCCCCCGCATTGAATAACAGGCAGAGGTGAGAGAAACGCTGTCTTGCTACGCATTCGAGTCACCCTTACTGACTAGTTCCTCCCCTAAGCAACTAATATCTGATATATTCTTCCTCTACGAAGATGGATCGTTCCAACAAGCCCTCCGCCATCGGGGTGGGTGTCTCCATCCCTCAGCCCACCGTTAACTTCCACGACAACAAGGTCCAGGCCACCCTGCCCACCGGCGAGTCAGTCACCGTCCACCTGTATGGAGCGACCGTCACATCCTGGAAGCTTGCCAATGGGAAGGAGCAATTGTTCGTCAGCGAAAAGGCTCACCTGGATGGCTCCAAGCCCATCCGCGGCGGTATCCCCGTGGTCTTCCCGGTAAGTTCTATCCCAGCGACCTTCAATCCCCCAAACAGAACAACCGTTGTCTAACGAGTGCCGCGGCTGTGGCTCACTGCAGGTCTTCGGTCCTCCCCCCTCGAATCACGCTACGTCCTCCCTCCCGCAACACGGCTTCGCACGGAACTCGAACTGGGAGTTTCTGGGCAAGTCCTCGTCCGAGTCCCTCGGAAAAGACCGCAAGGAAGGCGATGATGCGGTCAAGCTGGACTTCGGTCTGTCGCACCCTATGCTGAGCGAAGAGTTCCAGAAGGCGTGGCCTTACCAGTTTGGTCTGGTGTACAGTGTCACCCTGACCAAGGAGGGTCTCGAAACCTCCCTGCAGGTGCAGAACAAGGGCGAGCAGAACTTCGAATTCCAGGTTCTGCTGCACACTTATCTGAGCATTGAGGTGCGTTTTCACACAGCGAACCCCCTGATTAGTGCAAGTATCTTGCGAGGGGAGAGACTGACATAAGGGCGTATAGGACATCTCGCAGGTCCGCGTCAAGAACCTCCAGTCCAAGGAGTATGTCGACAAGACCCAAGGTGGCGCCGTCCAGATGGAAGCCTCCTCTGCGGTTGAGATCAATAAGGAGACCGATCGGGTGTACAAGTCCCTTGACCCAAAGGTTCCGATCGAGGTTACCACGGTCTCGGATGACAAGCCCTTGTTCTCAATTACCCGGGAAGCCTTGACCGATGTTGTGGTGTGGAACCCCTGGATCGAGAAGGCCAAGGGAATGGCCGACTTCGGACCGGATGAGGCTTACAAGAACATGATCTGTGTCGAGGCCGGCTCCGTCGCTGGGTGGCAGACGCTGGAGGCGGGAGAATCCTGGGAGGGCGGCCAGACTATCCGGCCGAGGCTATAAGTTGCCGGATATTGCCCGTTGATCTATGCGCTGATGTTTGAGCGAGCTAAGTTGCACATGAAGATAGAGATAAATACGCCGTGAACGTGTACATGAATCAAGTTCTTTGCCCCGAAGGTGCAATGTATTCAAGAGTAATCTCAAAGCAAGGTCCTTTAACTGAGCCACAGTTCCATAATCGAAATCGCCTTGTGAAGATAGAAGGAACGTGTGGGATCAGGCTCGAAGCATTGCCACCCCATAAAACAGATCATTGGAGGATGGCTCAGCGAAAGACTGCGCGGCGTATAAGCAGGATGTGAGCACAGCACACGGGTAGTGGCCAAGCTCAAGTTGATGCAAGCACTTAGGTTCCGCGGAGGAAATGCCTTTCTCCTTCAAGGTTCTCAGAACCAGCATCCAAGCGCCGCAATCTTCTATTTGAAAGCGCCCTAACCGCCTCGATCCTCGTCTGATGACCCACCAATAGCTCTCGATGCTCAAAGTCTCAGGGCTGTTGCATGTCATGTCGTACGCAAAGGCAAGCTTCGTATAGAGGAAGCACAACAGTCGAGTGCCTAACGGCTCGTAAACTTCTGACAGCACACGAGGCAGTGCATCTATCAGGTTGTCGCATGCAATTAGATCCAAAATATCGGCGGCGTGGTTGTGCCTTCGTGTGAAGAGATCACTCAAAGCACCGACAAGCCTCTCCTGGTGCGCTCAAGGTGGTTCTGACGAAGGACCCAGCAATTAAGTCCCCAGATGACGTGGTAACTGAACAAGAAAGGCAGGGACAAGAGGAAAAAGAAGACCAAAACCGACTGGGGGAACATTGTCAGTGCGGGGAGAGGTGGTTGAGGATAGGAACTCAGGTATCATGGGA